TGTGATGCTTTTCTGCTCACCAAATTTGCACAGAGTGGTTATTTGTTACTGTAGCTTTTCCAGGAGAACAGCAGTTCTAGAAATACTCAAACCAGCCTGTCTGGCACCAACAATCACACCATGGTCAAAATCAATGAAATCACATTTCTCCCCTCCATTCTGATGGTTGAACATGCCCTGAAGCTGCTGGCCCGTATCTGCATGACTTTATGCACTGCACTGCTGCCACATGATTGTATTATTAGACAATTGCATGAATGAGTAGGTGCACAGGTTTTCCTAATAAAGTGATCGGTGAGTTTGGGAGTGACGCACATCTGAGTGGTGAGTCAAAGTGAGTGAGAACAAGTTAAACAAGAATTGAAACAGGGCTTAAGTTAACTTACTCTAGAGCAGAGATGTCTAAAGTCCAAACGCAGCCCATGGACAGATTTTAATTGGCCCCTGGCTTCTGTTTTACAGTGTATTATAAGTGGCCCGCCAGCCAGTATGTTGCAGTTCTTCCTTTCACCTGATGGTGGCAGCTGACTAGACCTGCAGCTTCATTAAGTGAATGACATTTAGTCAAGACTACAGACATAAAGCTCAAACTAAACACTGAAAACTGATGATTTTTGCGAGATGGAAAACTTTTCATCAGAGCAAATTCAGTAGTTCAGTAAATATTAACCCTTTAAGGTCGAACAAAAACGCGGCTACACTGTGTTTATTTGTATATGAGGAACATTAACTAACAAAACCAAACGTATAAATTTTTGTTTAGTTTTCAACAGGTAAACACTTGAATAGGAATAAGATAAATACATTAGACATGTTGTATTGTTACTCTTAAACAATTTAATTACTTTTTATAGGTGCATATTGATTCAAACTGCTCTGAATGAACAACAATAAAAGAGGCCTCGTGCATCTTTTATACAGTGATAGGAAACACGGTAGCTCACAGAAAGCTCAGACTCTATTCGTGACATTTTGAAAACGTAATATTTTGAATCATTTGTGAATAATACGTCGGCCCTCAGGTATTTTAACACAGTACAATCTGGCCTTCTTTGAAAAAAGTTTGGACAGCCCTGCTCTAGAGCTACTTGTTCACAGCTTTGACACTGAGCTGTGAGTTCGGTCCTTCACACAGTTTCCAACACGTTCCACCTTGAGGAGAGTCTCTCAGCCTAATAACTGTGACTTATCTACTAGTTTTTAATTCACTTGTGGGAAAGTGCTTAGAACCGTCACCAAGCAGTGATTGTTGTTAATGTCTATTTTTTAAAACCTCTCAATTTATTACCAGTTTGAATCACTGCTGTTTGGTGTGGCTCAAACTCGTAATAAACTGCAAAGGCACTGTTGCTAAAGCTGACTGGAGATAAACAAAATCGGAATCTCTCTTCCTTCGGTCGACTCTGTTTATGCTCAGCAGGCATGCTAAGCGAGCAAAGAGAATAATTAAAGATTCCTCTCATCCAGCAAACCATCTTTTCCAACCACTTCCTTCTGCGAGGTGCTACAGATCTCAGACAACTTGTTTCGAGAACAGCTTTATTTCCCATTGCAGATAGGTTTGCTAAACTCTTCTGAATGTTGTATATCATTATATTCTGTGTGTAAGACTTGCTGGCTTTAGTAAGAATGCATTGATGAAATTATTGTGTAATTTCTCATGGTTGTTATCTATCATGTTGAATACTATATTGTACTGTATACTGTTTACTGTATGTTTATGTGAATTATGCTACTACAGAGTAAATTACATCTTGAAGGAATTACCACTGAAGTAACGTGGCAATAAAAGAATCAATAAGCGAGTCAATTATGGTCCACAAGATGATCTTAATGGTGAACATGGTTTCTAAATTAATCTGGTGGGCCAGATAAGAACTGTAATGGGGCTGGACTGTTCGTGACACCCCTGAATCAGAGTTTTCCTTTCAGCAGGCAAAATAAAGCCATGCTGCAGAAAGACATTGAGATAAATGATTGCATGGAAACCTCAATAAGGAATGCGTGCATAGATTTATGTGTTACACATTTCATTACAGATTCCCTATAAAAACGGTGGCAAAAGGAGGGGTAATTTTCTAAATGCTGTACTTTAAGAGATTGTAAGGCTATGCAGAGGGTCGTCTAGACTGAATTTTACTGGAGATTCAGTTACTAAAGATTTATGATGCTCTAGTAATGGGTTACGTGACATCTCAGTAAGGGAACGGGAAAGAGAACGAGAGAAAGAGAGAGAGTGTTTCATATGATTAGCGTGGCGTGGCTGGGTGAGAGTGAGCTTCATATAGGGAGCGTGGTGTGCGCATGTGTGAGAGTGAAAGAAAATAATGTTTTATTCATTTACACAGTGTGTACATCTCGGCCAAAGAGAGGAAAAAGCACATTACTGTGCAAAACCTGAGACCGCTCCTTATTTATTTAATGTCCTGTCAAAATAGACATTACAGGTATAAACTAATCATTTTTCAGCGGCAGGAAAAAAAAGCAGAAGCCTCAGCAACTAAATATAATATTGTATTTTCAGTATTTTGTGTGTCCACTCGACCCTTATTACAGCTTCCAAGTTCAGTCTTAGAAGTTTGTTGCATCACACATTCAGTGATGAAGTCTGACTGAGGTAGCAGACATATATATATACAGACACACCGATCAGGGATAACATAATGGCCACCTCCTTGTTTCTACGCTCATTGTCCATTTTATCAGCTCCACTTACTATATAGGTGCACTTTGTAGTTCTACAGTTACAGACTGTAGTCCATCTGTTTCTCTGCATGGTTCTTTAGTGGTCTTTCCCCTTCCTTATGCAACTGGATTATCTCATAACTAATCTAAGAAATGTTTCTTGAAAAACTTGTATTTAATGGCCATTTTGACTGGATATTACATACATGAAGATTGGTCTCTGACCTTTGTACAGTACTGCATGTGCAAAAGAGTGAGCGACACATAGATAGAGAAAGGAGAGAGAGTCTGAGTGTGTGGGTGTGTGTGTCTGTGAGACAGATGAGGTGTGTCTCCAATGCAGTCTCCGTATCAGTCCAATCTACATTCTCTCAGCACAGCACTGCAGATGGTGCCGCACAGGCCGGCTTCATTCTGACCCGCTCCTCTTTCTCTGCCTAAATAACTAGCCTCCAGCAACCAAGCACTCCACGCTGGACCTTACTCTGCATGAAGCCTAGGATCATTGATTAAATATGACTCTGCGTTTTCCTCTGAGACGGGGACTGTAGGCCTGCGTTAGCCTGACTGACTGATTGTTGCCACTGGACATAAAAATGTTCTGGATTCAAATCTGCTCATTAAGTCAGCAACAGGACTGTCAAAATATTCATCTAATTAATTTATATTAATCACATTTTGTGTAGTTAACTGCAATTAGTCATTACTTTCTCTTATTTGCTCACATGAAATGTTTCCATTTAAAAAGCAAGGCAGTTATAACTTAGTGTGTGACCAAAAATAGAGTGAATACACACACACACACACACACACACACACACACACACACACATATATAAAAGTTGGGACGCTGTGCAGAATGTTAATCATAACAGAATGCAATGATATGCAAATCATGTAAACCATATGTTTAAAGGAAAATACTACAAAGACAACATATCAAATGTTGAAACTGAAAAATTGAATTCTTTTTGAAAAATATATGCCCATTTTGAATTTGTTCCAAATATATACAACATGTTCCAAAAAAGTTGGGACGGGGGCCTGTTTACCACTGAGTTTCATCACCTCTTCTTTTAACAGCACTCTGTAAGCGTTCAGGAACTGAGGAGACACTGCTGTAGTTTAGAAAGTGAAATATTTTCTTGTTTGATATAGGATTTCAGCTGCTCAACAGTTCAGGGGTCTCCTTTATTATATTTTTCATTTCATAATGCACCAAATGTTATCAGTGGGTGACAGATTTGGACTGCAGACAGGCCAGTTTAGCACCTGGACTCTTTCAATACAGACTCTTTTTAATACATGTATATATCGTTCAGCATTAATGATGCCTTCACAGATGAGCACGTCACCCATGCCATGTGCACTTATGCCCCCCTATATCATCATGAATACTGGCTTTTGAACTGTGCAGCGTCCCGACTTTTTGGGATACACACACACATATATATATATATATATATATACGTATATATATATATATATATATATATATATATATATATATATACATATATATATATGTGTGTATGTGTGTATATATATATATATATATATATATACACACACACACACATACACACACACATCTTAAAAAATCTTTATTGCTTATCCTTTCGATCTTTCATTCAAAAATATGAACAAAAATCTAATCTTTACTTGAAGTACGACTGTAAAACCTAAATGTTATGAGGAAATAAACATTTTTCTCAAATCTATAAAAACATCTAATATATGCCATACTGTAGGCGCTTGAGTTTGTTGGTCCTTGACAGCAGAGGCTTTTTTCTGGCTTTCTTCTTTCTTTCCCCCAAAACAATTTGTGGTTATGTAGGTTGCGGTTTGGGAGACGTTCTGACCCGAAGACCTCACTAATTTCTGCAATTCCCCATCTGTGATCCTTGGAAATTCTTTGACCAATTAAACATCCTCCTCACTGGGCGTGGGGTCAGTACAGGTCAGTACGTCCTCTTTCCTGGCAAATTCTTAACATCTCCACTTGTTGTAAGCTTCTTAATTATTGCCATGATAGTGGAAATGGGCATTTTCAACTGTTTAGCTATTTTCTTGTAGCCATTTCCTGATCTGTGCAGCTCTTTTGTTGTACATCATTGCTGTTTTCTCTGGACTTACGTAATTAAGAATATTTTTACAGCCCATTTTGCTTATTATTACCAGGGGTTTTAACAGAAGTATCAATTCCTTTACCTCCCCAGAAAGACTAGCGTGTAAACAGGTTTAAACAGGTTTAAACAGGTTTAAAAATCCAACACAGGATCGATGCACCCATCAACATACACTGAACAACATACCTGCACGTCTTGTAAACTGCTGATATGTAGAGTAGAGAGCAGGAGGAGGGCACAACCCCAGCAGAGGATGGGACTGTGTAGTTGGGCAACAGCCAATGAAACACTGAGGTGGAGCATCAGAACAGCTATGCCCCTGGAACCCAGAAGCCACCACGCTGCCAACATGCCGTAGAGCGTGAGGACGGCCTTTCTGCTCTGTAACACACACACACACACACACACACACACACACACACACACACACACAAAGTAAGGGGACTTACATCCTACCAACATCAGAAGACGTCTTCTGGAGCAAATACTCAAGACAACCTGGGGACGTATTTCACAAAGCAGGATTTCTCAGTTTAACCAGAGAACTTAAGCCCAAAGTCAAGTCTGTCCAACAGGAAAAGAGCTGAGGGACATTCCTATTGGATAGTCCTCATCTTTGGGTTTACTGAGGAATCTTGCTTTATGAAACACCCCCATGAGCAATGCTTACCTGAGGCAGGTACACACCAAACAGTCGGGATACCACTGCGTGACCAATCAGTGTCCAGAGAAGAGACTGCCACGCCCACTCGCTCCAGAAGCTCCACTCAAAATCTGTTGGGTCCTGAAGAGAAATGCACACATACAGCAATTTGCTATGAGAACAGGCCTGGGCCATAAAACAATAACAATAAAAATCACAATCAAACATTTTTCCACTATACGCTGTTCTGTTCCACAATCTGGTATAAGCAGCAAAGGCTTTAACTTTACTATGTTTCTATTCAATCATATATATTTGACTTATAATATTTGTGTGGTTTTATGTAAAAAAAATGATCAATATAATTTATTTGCCGATCCCTCTTTATCCCTTACAATCAGACAGGCTGGTTTTGTTACTGTGCCTTTAAGGCTTATATATGTAAATGAGCTATGTTCTGATTGGCTTCTGTGTACTGTGCCTCATTCAAAAAGTAGTCTGAACTGAAACACGCCTTATAACTTCAGCATGAATGGGCGGGTCTAAAATTCTGTAGGCCCTAGGTGGATATATGTAAATGAAATCACAAAAACATTGAATTCAAAACAGGCAGCATAGTTTTTATATATAGACTATATGTACTGGGTGGTGAAAGGCATATTTTGACATGTCAACACTGTTTTCATACTACTCCAAACCCCTTTATTTGAAAAATGCTAGGACAACTAATTTTTCCCTGATATGGATCTTTTAAATGAACGTATTATTTTCATGCATGGTCTTTTTTCCTATACAGTGCTTTTTGCAAGTTTGTGAATGCTTTGTCATTCTGTGAGTTTCTACATAAATGTGACGTTAAATATGATCAGATTTTCATTTACTGAACCACGTAATCTGTCCATCGGTCACTTCAAACATTTTCATGACCACTTCCCGAATATGAGTGTGGATAAGTAGGCTAGCAAAACGGAGGTGAAAAAGTTCAAATTTGCAGTACTAAAGTTTGTATATGTCGAATTTATTCTGTTTGACTGAATGGAACTGCGAAGTATAAATTTCAATGCAGTCATTTTTTTATTGTCTTTGTAGAGACACCATGTTGTCCTACCATGTACATCACCACCCGCTTTTAGTTTCAGTCAGCAGTATGGCTCAGGTTAGAAAAACTGCTGTAGCTTAGTACTCAGCGCACAGTGTGTTATTTTGAATGAAACAGCTTTATTGATAATTGTCCATAGACAGAGCTGTCTGTAGAGGTTGCATTTCAGGCAGCATGTCAACTGGACTGCGTCTTTTCGTACAGTGTGGGTGTACAAATCGTAGGCTGTCCACAATGGCCTATTCAAATGTACAGTGTGAGTCACCAAAGGACTATATTTCTGAAAACGTACAGTTTATATCTCGCATTAGAGGACATTTAGCTACAGCTCAAGCAGCCAAAAAGACGTCAAATATGACAAGTGAGCTCTTTGGAAGCATTAGCCTCAGATGTGATTACCGCTGTTACTCTGCTACAGAGACTGTTGTTACAGGAGACAGGTGATGAGTGGGGATCAAAACTATGAAAAGTACTTTACTCCCAGCTGTACAGAAGTGCTTTTCTTTTCGCTACTGGATTTGAGGTGACTAATGTAACATAGCTAGCTAATACACTTCATTCAAAAGCCACAAACTGTGATACTGCCACCATCATGTTTCAAAGTTGGGATGAGGTTCTTATGCTGGAATGCAGTGTTTGGTTGTGCCAAACATAACATCTCTCATTTTCAGCCATAAGGATCCACTATTTCAGTAGTCTTCGGGCTGATCCAGGTGGTCTTTAGGAAACTTTAAACTGGCAGAAATATCCTTCCTGGAGAGTATTAGCGTTTCATGCTATCATACATACAATTCTAATACACTTCATTCAAAGTCAGCTAGATTTTAATAATTTAACTGTCAAAGTACATCGCACTCATTTACACTAACTACTTAATTCTTAAGTAGCTAGGTTACTCCTTATGGTATCAGTATCAGCTACTTAAAATCACACACTCACACTAGGTTTAAAAAAAAAAAATCATACTTGTGCTTCTCCAAAAAACCTCTATTTTTATATATTTAACCAAAATGAGTCTTTTTTCTTCAACATATTATTCACGCTGAAAATTAAGCATTAGCATACGTATATAATAATAAATATCAAAAGCACCCTGCATTATTAATCTCTAGAGTTCACCTGGTAGTGTGCTGCAGCAAAACGTTTCTCTTTGATTGTGTGTACAGCAGCTCATGTACTCCATGTTCTCATACCTTTCTGAAGCCCCAGATGAGGAAGCCCTTCTCCAGCTGCACCTCCCTGTCCAGACTCTCCTCGTGCTCTGCCAGGCATACAAACAGGACATTATGTTACTCATCATCTCACATAAACATTCAGATGGAAACTAATATTGTTCTATATGTAAGTCCACAGAGAGGCAGCTCCAGCTTAGGCCTGTATACAGCCACACACACAGGGCATCACATCCCCATCTGCTTCCAATCACTCAAATCAGATATGACATCACATATATGGCAGTGCACTAAAAGAGGTGGGCGGTTACCATTTTTAATGATATATCACCGCATAAACCCTCATCATATTTATACCACTACAAACTTTAATAATTCTGTGCATAAAAACATGCATGAATACTGTCTTTTTAAAAGCATATAAGTGAAAATAAGATAATACAGAGAACAGTTTCAGTAACACACTGGATATTAAATATACAATATAAAACAGGGGTGCACAACTCCAGTCCTGGAGGGCCGGTGTCAAGCAGAGTTTGGTGATTTACCAGCTCAAGCACACCGGATTTAACTGGATTTGAGTAGAGCAACTACTAAACTGTGCTGGATGCCAGGGCGCTAGGACTGGAGCTGTACACCCCTGGTATAAAATGTGCCAGATCTTTTGCACAGGTCATATTTTTATGTTGTTTTTTTTCCCCAAATAGATTAAATTCAGCAAATAAACAGCAACTGTGCATTAAGATGTGCTCTACAGAGGATGTGCTAACTTACTTTCATTTAGAAAATCAACAAAACATGCAACTTGACACACCCAGGGTGTTTCCTGCCTTCCGCTCAATGACTGCTGGGATAGATTCCAACTCCCCCCGCAACCCAGAAGGAAAAGCAGCTTAGAAGATGTGTGTGTAACTTGACCAGAGGTTCCTCAACTTTTGAATGCAACCATTGTATTTATAATTCGAACAGTAGACTATAGTAGTGCTACTGATCTCACACTCATTTAAATAGTTCAACTTATGTACAGTAATTAATGAAAGTTACAAACCACCCTACATTAATTAAATTTCCAAAAGAGCCAATAAAGGTTATCCATTTTTTAGAGGATATTTTTTGAGGAGATAAGATATAAGAAAAGGATGGAAAAAGTCAAAGGAAAAAATAAGTAAAAGAACAACTGGAGATTCAAAGAAAATGGGGCTTCTAACAACCACCTACAAAACCTGGCAGACCACGAAAGCTGCCCCCATCAGATAAACAGCACTTAAAGCTTTCGTCTCTGAGAGAGAGGAGAAAATCAAGCTGCTTCAGATCTGAAAACATCCACAGGTGTTTCTGTCCATCCTTCCACTGTGAGAAGACGACTCAGCGCTATGGGTCTGAAAGGACGTGTAGCTGTCAAGAAGAACCTCACTGAGAAAAGGAGACGGACACATCAAACAAAGAAGCTGAACGATGGACTGACCACCCCAGAGTCCAGACCTCAACACCACTGAACGTGTTTGATTACTTCAGAAAATGATCAACCAGCTTCTAAGACTGAACTTTGGAGGTGTGGAAAAACATCCCTGCAGATTTCTTTTTCAACACAAATGATGAAGTTTTCTTTGCTCGTTTGTAAAATCATTAAAGACTAACCAGGTTAACGTTACGTTACAATCAGAGATTCACTATGTACTTTTAATCACAGTTTGAAGAAAAAAAAAGGTGTCAGATCATTATTTAGGTAAAACCTTGTCTTCATACCAAGAAAGACACTTTGATGAACGTGACGCTGAGTTTTGAAACTCCTAATGCATATGCAAATGCCTGTTTTGTGTTAAAGGGCCTATTTTATGGAAAAATGAATTCTTTCTTTTTTTTAAATAAAAGAAAACCCTGGTCTGTTTTCAAAATGTACCACTCTCTCCAAAGTACGTGCATAGAAATTCAGCTGCAAAAACAGCCAACAGTGGTTTAGCCTGCCTATTCAGGCCCTCTTGGGGAAAAAAGAAGCACCACAAAGGGTTCTTTGAGCAAAGCCATAGAAGAACAATGTCTAAAAAGAGACACATGAGTGTGAAAAACCTCTAAAAGGTTTTTAATCACATCTCATTTACAAAAATGGCTCTGCATTGAAAGTCTTTCTAGCAGTTCTTTTATGGCATCATGTAAAGAACCCTTTCTAGCACCTTTAGATGCACCTTTGAAGGGAATAGTGAAGCTATAAGGCAGAGGTCACTAATAGGTGGAAAGTGGTCCAGACCCAGACACTGTCCTATGCTGACCTGGACCTATAACCGATAAACTATGGAGAATTATTTAACTTGGACGGGGTGGTCCTATTTTAATCAGCGGAAGTTTTCTACTCTTTATGGTGGCTTTAGCGGCCCGGGAGACTCACAGACCAATCGCATAGGTTCTAAATATCACACGTGACACTACTCAGATCTGTGCATTACGATGAGCACTGAGACTCGAGGGAGTGACGCACACACAGGGGAGGGACGAGGCGAGAAACAGCAGTCAGAGAAGAAAGTGAGTCAGAGGGAAGTTATTTCACATGTCGTGCTCAAAAAAGAGAAAACTGACAATAAATGTTGTTGAAATATGACTGAATTGGACTTTATTTGATTTGATATTCAGTTGTTGACTGTATAAGATGTTGTTATATGTACTAGGCTACTTCAATATACAGTATATGGCACTGAATCATGACATTATGATGTTCTGGACCTTTGCTTGAGAAAATTTTCTCTAACTGGACCTTTCTGAACTTTAATTAAAGACCCGTGCTATAAGGAGTGTTTTAGCCAGGACAGCTTTTTGAATGAGGTGCAGTCAACACAGGACAGCCAATCAGAACAGAGAACACGTCGGTCTTAAAGGCACAGTAACAAAACCAGCTCGCTTTAATTCTAAGGGACAAAAAGAAGTTGGAAAATGGCTACATAAAAAAGAATCATGACTCACAGCAAGAATATAAAACCACACAAACGTCGTAAACGGACCCCAGGGGAAAAAATAAAATGCGAGAAAAATGCAGGATACGAGCCCTTTAACTGAAACTAAACTGAAAAGTAACAGCGAGAACCTTCTAATCACAGGAGAACGCAAACTTTTTACAAGCCGCATGCGTGTGTATGTGCGTGTAATGCTGGATCGGTTCGCAGCTTGTTATGCTGACTAATCAGAGAGAAGCCCACAGCTACACTACAGGTTCTCTCCCTCTCCCTCTGCATTGCAGTGTCAGTCTCTCTCTCTCTCTCTCTCTCTCTCTAGTTCCTCAGGGTGGACCCCTCGTCACCTCGACAGAAGGCTCTCCTGCATGGTGTATCAGCAGGCTGGAATCTGCACCACACAAACAATGAAGGAGCGAAGAAGGAAGAGAGGGACAATAAAAGGAAGAGAAACAGCACCACCTAATGGCTAAACTGAGCAAAACTGCCACACTCCTCCTACAGTACGCATCTATTAGCCAGAGAAGACTAAAGCTCATCCCTACACGTAATCAGCTAAGTGGTTCATTTGACTGACGAGTCATTTAATTTGCTATCATTTATCAACCCTCACTGAGGCTGTGTGTCCAGGAAAATAAGGCCAAGAATAATGTTCTGCTAATTCTGTGATACTGGTCAGCGAAACAACTTGACCGAGTAAAGAGAAGGCAGATGAAGACAACTTTTGCACATTTAAAGGAATTTAAAGAGTCAAATTTACAGTTTTCCATGTGTTGACATTCAAGACATGTTTAGTCTACAGGGCCCGTCCACACATCCAAGACCTCCAGCCCTTCGAGCTTCGAGTACAGCTCGGCTTAACCAGCCATCCTTTAGGACACATGGAGGACAAGCATCAAGACTCTGTCCAGGCACCCAGGTGGTAGAACAAGCTTCCACTGGCTGTCCGAACAGCAGAGTCCCTTGGTGTCTTTAAACGGCAACTGAAGACGCATCTCTTTGGCCGTATAGCAGAAGAAGCACTTTGAGAGGTACTATAGAGACGGTCCTGAGCAGCTGCATTACTGCCTGTTTTGGGAATTGCACCGCCTCCGACAGCAAGACCCTCCAGCGAATAGTGCAGACAGCTGAGAAGATCATTGGAGTCTCTCTCCCCTCCGTCACACACATTAACACCACACGCCGCATCCAAAAAGCCACTAGCATTGTGACGGACCACACACCCCTCACACGAACTGTTCTCTCTTCTGCCATCTGGAAGAAGGTACTGCAGCATTCAGGGCCCTCACAACCAGACCGGGCAACAGTTTCCTTCCACAAGCCATCAGATTCCTCAACTCCCACCGACTGAATTGAAGGACACCCACACGGACCTACACACACTTATACATAACAATATGGGACCATCTCACTCCGCACTTCTTGCAGTTCCAAATTATGTCTGGAACACTGTATTTACATACACAGACCAGGCATAACATTATGACCACCTCCTTGTTTCTACGCTCATTGTCCATTTTATCAGCTCCACTTACTATATAGGTGCACTTTGTAGTTCTAGTTACAGACTGTAGTCCATCTGTTTCTCTGCATACTTTGTTGGCCCCCTTTTACCCTGTTCTTCAGTGGTCAGCAGTGGATCAGACACAGCTGGTACGAGTGGATCAGACACAGCAGTGCTGCTGGAGTTTTTAAACACCTCAGTGTCACTGCTGGACTGAGAATAGTCCACCAACCAAAAATATCCAGCCAACAGAGTCCTGTGGGCAGCGTCCTGTGACCACTGAAGAAGCACTAGAGGGTGACCAACACAAACTGCGCAGCAGCAGATGAGCTCTGGTGAACAAGGTGGACTGACAAGGTAGGAGTGTCTAATAGAGTGGACAGTGAGTGGACACAGTGTTTAAAAACTCCAGCAGCACTGCTGTGTCTGATCCACTCAGACCAGCACAACACACACTAACACACACCAGTCTTTCGTATTTATTTATTGTACTGTATTGTCTGCACTGTGTTTATTGTATTGTTTTGCACTTGCGCTCCTGTGTTGGTCCTGGAGGAATGTTGTTTGTTTCACTGTGTACTTGTATAGAGCTGGAATGACAATAAAGCCTGACCTGACTTAAGTGAACACTGACCTACTGCACTTA